ATGAAGTTTAAGGTGAGTTGGTGGCAGAATGGAAACTTCCATCTAAGTCTCTTAATTTTTAATTCATTACTCTGTGCATTAAACTGTGTGTCTTCAGGGACAAAAGGGCCTAGAAGAGCAGTGGGAATGGGGGTGCCAGGAAACAGGGCTCCTCGTTCTATTTCAGGGCCTACTTATAAGAGTCCCAACAGTCTGTTCAGCTAGAAGAGACTACGCATCTCATCTGTCTGAGGCTCTGAAATTCACACTGAATCTACAATAATAGGAAGAACCTAGCACTTTCCATCTTCCTCCCAGGAATCCGGAATCACTGGGGTGATTCTATCCTATCAGAAGCAATACCCAGCTGCTTGAGCACCCATCTAGGCAGGGCACTTTTGGGCAGTGATGGAGTCCATGAAGCAAACAATGAGTTGTTGCAACCTGTCCTCAAGTCCTGAAATCAGAAGGTTTTCAAACTTCCCAATATAATGGAATTCACTGCCTCCTTGGACAATTAATGTTAATCACATCATGTCTAAGAACCAGTTCATTCAGCACTGCAAATGATTACCGGAAATGGTGTTGCCCTGCCAGTGTGGCTCAGTGCTTGAGCATCAGCCCAGGAACCAGGAGGTCACAGTTTGATTCGGATCAGAGCGCATGCCCAGGTTGTGTGCGGGCTGGATCCCCAGTAGGCGGCGTGCAGGAGGCAGCCAATCAATGATTCTCTGTCATCATGGATGTGTTATTTTTCTCTCCCTCTCTCTCCCTCTCTGAAATCAATAAAAACATATTCTTAAAGGTATATGGCACATATAAAACAATCTCTAATTTTTTAAAAAAAAAATGGTGTTACTATTTCATAATTCTCAACTTTTCTAATCTTATTTCCCAGAAACACTGTTGTGGGAACTAGCCAGTGAGACAAAGCAAAAGGCACCGGCCAGGCCAACAGAGCTTTCCTCTAGGTCTGCATCCCTGCTAGGGGCGCTTGCAGCTTCTGTGCCGCCAGGCAGGCTCCATTCTCCCTGCTGCTCAGACACCCCTCCGACAGGCTCGCCTGCAGTCTGTCCTCCCTCCGTCACAGACTTCCCAGTGGAGGACTGTCCCTTGACCCTGTCAAATCTTGCTTCACTCATGCCAGCAGGATCCCTGGCACAGGAATTGCTTGGCCTTCCCCAGGCAGCTGTGAAGGAATGTCTGCTTGTGAGTGGCAGAAGCAAACCCTGTGAGTGGCAGAAGCAAACGGCTCAAATGAGATGCGGCGGAGGGGGGCGAGGGGGGTTGCTGTGGCCGGGGCGGGGAAATAAGGGTGCATTTCGTGAGCACACGAAGCTAACTTTAGGAAGTGGGGTTTCAAAACTGGGGGTCAGCCTATAACCAGTGCCAGGTAATTATAAAGATAAGCTGGGCAGAGGAGGAAGGAGAATCCCTTCTTAGGAAATAAACTCAGCTTCCTCACCGGGGCATTTTGGGGCCGGAAACAGTTGTCTAGAAACCAAGGAAGCCCAGCCACTCCTTTTTCCCCACGGCAGGTCCTGAGCTCGCAGTTCAGCGTCTTGCCCGTCTATATGGAGGGCATCATCGTTGCTGGCATCTGAGCTGCCTGCCAGTTGCATCACTTTGCAGGGAAACCCTGGCATCCTCGTTCTGAGGAGGAAGAACCTCCGCTCACTGGGAGCCTTGCCTGGCAGCCCTGCCACCTCCCTGCAGGGCGGGGATGGGCCGAGCAGCCGACTATCAGGAGCGTCCGTACTTTTCTGTACTTTTCGAACTTTTCGGTTCCGGTGCTCAAAGCCAACAGAATGAGTGACGTCATTTCCTTTTCCAGCGTTTTTTCCATCTTGCTCTGCTTAACCAGCTCAACTTGCTGTCATGCTTTCTCCAGAGAATTCCTGTAACTTAGCGGAGTCCCCAGAATTGGCCACTTCCTCCCGCTCCAGCCTGCAGAGTGGGAGCCCCTGGAAAACCCTCTCCCAGACATGAAGTGTGGGAACAAAACTCCAGCCTTAGCCTTGAATGAGCACTTTCCTCACCTGGGAGGATGGCGATCTAGGCAATTCCTTTCCTTTCAATTCCACAAACAAGCAAGGGGACTCTCCGTGTGCCCGCACCGAACAAAATGGCCCAAAGGTACCAAAGTGGACAAGACCTGGGTGCTTGGGACCTCAGAGCATCATAGGGGAACAGACCCTCTAACGCAGGGGTTCTTAGCCTGGGAAAGGGGGATGGAAAAAACATCCTTTTTTGCTTTTTCCACTAACCTCTGTTCAAAGCATTTCCTTCCATCATGAGGCTGGGAAACAAACATAAACCACAATAGAATTCGCAGCACCTGTGAACCTGTCCCTGCTAGAAATCACAGCTATTTGGTATCCTATTCCAGCTGCTTCAGACACCCCAAAATATCATTATGTTCCTCACAACTTAGACATGTCAGTAGTATATAGGCCCACTGCTGTCATTCTTTCTCCAGAGAATTCTGGTAACATAGCAGGGTCCCCCAAACTGGGACACAGAGAGGTTAAATAGCTTCCCTGAAGTCACACAGCTCAGCAGCAGCAAAGCCAGGGGCTTCCAAACCAGGCAATCTGGTGCCAGAATGAACTACAACAAGTATGTCAAACTCGTGGCCCGCGGGCCGCATGCCTCGTTTATTTGGCCTGTGTTAGCCTTTGAGTTTGACATGCTTGACCTACAGTGTCGACAACAATGTACACATGTTGGCGCTCAGAATGCGCCAGGCACTGAGGTGAAAACATTGCTCACACCTTCTCCTTTACTCCTCATAATAGGGTAAAGGCCGCCCAATTAAATGGATGAAGAAGTGTGAAGCTTAGTAAGTTTCAACGACACACCTAGAGTCATACAGCTCTAGTTATGGAACTGGGATTTGTGAAATTAAACAAGGAAGTCATTGGACTGAGGTGAGACTAATGCCATGGCAGCCTGATAAGCAAACTATAACCTAAGCCTGGAAATGCCTCAAGTCATGAAATCAAGGGCAGCCAGTCCCTGACAGCCACTCGGGCTTTGAGCTGCAGCCAATCAATGTCCTTTCTTGGCTTCTGCACCTTCTCTCTCTGAGTCTTTCTCCTGGATCCTGTGGGCAGAGCGCTCCTTCTGGTCCGGCACTGCCTGATTCCAGTAAACACTGATTTGCTCAAATAAACTTGTAAAGTTTCTGATGTGCCTCCATTTACCTTTAATAGTTCCAAACTCAGAGAGTCCTGCTCCAAAGCCTGGGTCCTCAATCAGGATGCAATGCGGCCTGCTCATCTTGCATGCATGATGGGAGTTTGGGAGAGGAGGAGCCTTACAGGCGGAAGGAGCTGTGCCTGCATGAAGGACAGGTTGTTACATGGATGGTTGTAGAGGAGGAGAAGGGGAGAGGAGAGGGGAGGAGAGGAAAGGGGAGAGAGGGGGGAGGAGAAAGAGAGGAGGGGGAGGGAGGAAGGATTACCTCTTGCCTGCCTACCTCACTTTGCCCACTTCCCTTGTCTACCTGTCCTTTCCCTCCACCCAGACTTGAAGAATGTGTCCTGACTCTGGTTGTCCACAGAGTTGTGTTTTTGGTGTTGTTTCTTGTTTGTTTGTTTGTTTGTTTGTTTGTTTGTTTGTTTGTTTGTTTTTATTGATTTCAGAGAGGAAAGGAGAGGGAGAGAGAGATAGAAACATCAATGATGAGAGAGAAGCATTGATTGGCTGCCTCCTGCATGCCGGTAGACTGTCCCCTACTGGGGATCCATCCCGCAACCCAGGCATGTGCCCTGACCAGGAATCGATCTGTGACCTCCTGGTTCAGAGGTCCACACTCAAACACTGGTGTTGTTGTTTCTTGTTTTTGTTTTCACAGAGTTGGTGCTTAATAAATACCTGCTAAGGAGCCAAACCATTTCTTCTCCATCCTCCATCAGCTCCTAGCAGCACCCTTGAGAAATCTAGGGCTCACCTTTAACCGCCAAGGTGCAGGGGGAGGGAGCCCATAGCTCGTGCAGGACTGCGCCAGGCACTCAGAGGTGACCTGCCCCCATCAATTCAGGACAGAAGCTCTTCACACTACACCAGGCAGCCTCCCCCTGCTGGGGTTACTGTGGGGGGCATGTGGGTCAGGGGCTTCCCCTCACTTGGTGCTCACAGAATCACATTGAGACTGGTGTGTTATCTCCATTCTACAGAGGAGGACACGGACACTTAGAGACATACGTAATTTGCTCCAAGTCAATAGGATTGGAACCAAGTTGTTCTGACTTCAGGGATCCTGCCCTGTCCACTAAAGCACACTCTGTGAAATCTCCTTCTCAGGTAGAATAAGAAAGGATGCTTCGGCCAACCGGTCACAGTAGAGATACCGACCCAGAATGGCGAGTATAAAGTGCTTATTTCAGCAACTGGCACGTGACAGATGCTCAGTAAGTGTCAGCTGTTGTTGTCCTTAACCATCTGAGGAGGGTCCATCTAGAAGTTGGTGCCCATTTTGGCCTCTCTCCACTGTAGCCTGGGCCCAAACTCCTCTACCCAGGATACCCCAGCTTTGTCACCATGACAACCATCCCTCTGTCAGAAACACTCTTCTCTAGCCCGACATATACACCCATGGAGACTTAGGGTCAGAGAAGATGTTTCTAGGTTGAGAGCAGTAAGAAAGAGAGGACAGAGAGAGACAAAGACAAAGTCAGGCAGAAAGAAAAGGCAACGACACAGAGAAAGAGGAGGAAAAGCAGAGTGATGTCCAGGAGTCGGTGGGCAGAAGCCCTCCATCCATCTTCCCGATCCTTAAGCAGAGGACAGGGTGCTGGATGGAGACTTTAGAGACCCAGTTTGGAACCCTTCTCTAGTCTCATCCCTCTCTAGGCCTAGTCATGTTCTTTAAGGCCCCATTCATTTCTAATAGTTGCCATTTATGATTCCTTAACTGACCCTTCCCCCCACCCCAATCAGAAGACACTTTCACTAATTGATTAAAAAAACAGAGTTTATTAAGAAAAATCAGTCAGTACAATATGTACTACAGGATATCGCTCAGCTCACATCACAGACATGGGATAAACACGCTCACAATAAATTAGGGGGAAGCCAGCCCTTCTCCTCCAGGATGGCCAACGAGACCTTTCAAAGGAACATATTTCATTATAAATATGACAATAGACTAGTAGGTTATTTCAGGTGGGGTCAGACAGCCTGGGACTCCCGGCTACAGGGTGAGATCCGTCCAAACCTAGATTTTGCCCTACAATCCCTCAGACCGAGAGGAGAGAATTCCAAATCTGCAGAGAAGTTGCTTCACAATCATGCTCATTTGCATTAAAATGGGGTCATCCCCATCTCCCTGCCCTTCAAGGTAGGCCAAGCATGTCAAACTCAAAGGTTACCACGGGCCAAATAGACGAGGCATGAGGCCCCCGGGCCACAAGTTTGACATGCTTGAGGCTGTCTCCTGGAAACCTCCCAAGCTGTTCACCTGGGCAACCAGGTTCTCTGTGTCAGGCGGCAGGAGTTCCTTGATGATTCTTGTCAATCCAGGCCAGGAAGACGTCCAGCTCTCCCAGAGACTTGAGGGCAGCAGACCTGACCTCCAGCTGGAACCAGAGAGACTATGAGAACCTGCCTTTCAGACCCTGTAATCATTTCAACCCACTATCCCCATGTTCTGGTCCCCACGAGGTTTTCTTTTAGTTCATCAGTTATATTTGCAGAGTATACAGACCCCAAATAATTTTCCCAACAGGCAACCCAAATTGTTTGCCACAAACAAGCAGTTAAATCATCTCAGAAACTTGTCAAAATTAAAAATTCTTCATTCTTTGCCCCTTGTTTTTCTTTTTCCTGTTCTTTAAATAGATATCTTTATTGATTTCAGAGAGGAAGGGAGAGGGAGAGAGAGAGAGAGAAACATCAATGAGGAGAGAGAGACATTGATCGGCTGCCTCCTGCATGCCCTACACTTGGGATCGGGCCCACAACCTGGGCAGGAATCAAACTGTTACTTCCTATTTCGTAGGTTGACGCTTAACCACTAAGCCATGCCAGCCAGGCTTTTTCCTGTTTTTCACAGGGGGGAAAAATTGCCTTTCTAGACAGTTCTTTTGCTTTTTTCTATTTCAAATTAGCTTTAAGAGGTCTCGATCCCAGGGTGCTGTGCAGTGAGTAGGGAGAGCTTGTTTTCCCTATTGGACATATGAAAGCACCAAAGTCCCTAGGAATCAGTGTCCTACCCAAAGTCACACAACCGGTAGTGGGACTAGCTCCTGACCTCCTCCATCTCCTCTTCAGCCGACTAAAAGTATGTCCCGTAGAGCCAGAAGGCATGGGATCGAGTCCTACCTTCACCACTTAGTTGCAATATAAACTTAGCTAAGTTTCTTATCCTGTTTGTGCCTCACTTTCCTAATTTGTCAAACACCGATAACAGCTCATCTCAATGTTGTAAGCACCAAATGTGTTTATACCTGCACTGAGCTTAGAACAATACTTGACTCATAATAAGAGCAATAGGACTCTTAGCCATTGCTATAACATTATCCTATGGGACCTCTCCATAAGGAACCAGAGCTCTAACAGCTCTCCCCACCTCCTTGCTATTCCAATGACTAGCATCTCTAGAGAGTGTGGTTGAAATGTGGAATCTCAGGCCTCATTCCAGACCAATGGAGCCAGAATCTGCATTTTCACAAAAATCTCCAATTGATGCACATAAGAAGCATCGCTTCCACCTCCACCTGTGTATGAGACATGCACCCACCACCGAATGAGCAGCATGCTCTTCTGTACCACACAGAATGCTCATGACCGTTACTGGCCACGCTGACACCTGGCAGGTAACCTGCTTCATGCATAACAGCTTCCAATTCACTGGAGATCTCGCTTCCTCTGGATCACCCCCATCTTAAGCAGTATGTGCTTTCCCCCAAAACTTAACACGGGTTAGATCTGATATGTGAGGGCGTAAGAAGACAGTGGAGGGGTGTGGGGGAGGGGAGCCCAGGACCTTAGCAAATCAGGTAAGGCCAACACTCTCTTTGCGGGCACACACAGCTCGGGAGACCTGCGATAAATACTTGCTGGTGAGTGGATGAGTGTGAGTGGAGTGGAGGCAGAGGGTGGTGCACGCCCACTTGTCATCCCCATCGTCCCCGTCTTCTTCCCCGCCCTCACCTGATTGTAGTTGTCATGGATGATTCTGGTTGCATTGGCGGCTTCCTGCCCGCAGTGACACAGCCTCTGCTCCTGCTGATAAAATGGAGGCAGCACCCGTGAGAGAACCTTCCCATCCTGGCCCACCCTTTCAACCGCCTCCCCTCCTAGAGTGATGTTCCTCCTTCCGCCCAAGGTGAGCGCCAGGTAAATAAACTCGGTGTGGAGCAGCAGGGGAGCAAGGCCTGTTTGTAGAGTCACCCTGTGTTTGACCAGAGCGTTGGCTTCCTCTGGGTTGACAGACTGGAAGCGTCAGGAGAGTAGGTGCCAAATCCGTCTTGTCCCCACTCTGAATGCAGCGCCCCACAAGGCAGGCACCCAATAGATATTGGTTGGGTTCGTTAATTAAATAATTGACTCAATGAATCTTACTGTAAGTGGGACAGGGGTCATGGTTCCTAAGTTTCAGACTCTGACACACAGAGGTGAAGTAACCTGCCGCCAAGGCACACAGGAAACCCTTGGCGGGGGTGGGGCTACAGGGTCTCTGCTGTCCTACGTTTTCGTTGGTTTGTTGGAGTTTGGTTTTATTTCTGATGTTTGATTTTAATAGATAATCATGAATTACAGGGGATCCTTAGGGGAAGGCTATACCGGGGACCTACCCAGAGGTTATGAAAACCCCGAAGGGCCAGAAACAGACAGCAGGGGTGTGCCTAGGACAGTGATGGCGAACCTTTTGAGCTCAGTGTGTCAGCATTTTGAAAAACCCTAACTTAACTCTGGTGCCGTGTCACACATAGAAATTTTTTTGATCTTTGCAATCATAGTAAAACAAAGACTTACATTTTTGATATTTATTTTATATATTTAAATGCCATTTAACAAAGAAAAATCAACCAAAAAAAATGAGTTCGCATGTCACCTCTGACACGCGTGTCATAGGTTCGCCATCACTGGCCTAGGATAAGCCTGGAACGCCCCTCTCACAGGCCAGTCCTGGGGTCACCTAAGCGATACTTTGACATAAGTGGTCACCCCAGGAGGACTCTCCTTAAGGAAACTCGGGTCTGATAAGGTGTTGGCAGGGAGGACGCCTGGGCAAGGGGTGACCACTGGAAGAGGCTCCTGACAGGTCTCCCCATGGCGGATGAGGGAGGGGACGTCCTTTGCCTTCCTGAACCACGTGAGAAGGCGACTGGGGCCAGCACATCCCGGGCTCTCCCCAGCAGACAGCATGCAGATGCTGGGAGTGCTGATGTGGGACTCACGCATTGCTGCAGAACCTTCTGCATGTAGAGGAAAGAGTTGGCGATGCTGCTGATTTTTCTCAGGATCTGGGGGCTCAGCTCCTGGTGGTCCTTGAACACCCTGTCCACGTAAAACGCCAGGAGGTTCTTGGTCACACAGCACACATCTAAGGGCTACAGATATGAATTAGAGAAAGCCCAGGGCACCCACGGGCTACAGCTACGAATCAGAGAAGTCCAGGGTCCTCTCTTCTTTATTATCTTGGAGACCAACGTGGCCTATTTGATTGAATAGGAGCAGCAAGGACCAAGATAACTAAAAGTTATTTTTTTAAATTCATATTGGTTTCAGAGTGTCCATCCCTTGGTACACTGAAGCTACTTATGATGAAGGCACTGAGGAGAGATTGTGGTTCACCCACTCTTTGTATAGGGCCAGGAGATATGTTAATAAGGGGTGGAGCCCAATCAGAGACTAGATTCTCTCTACAGCATCCCCAACAGGTCACCACTCAGTTCTGTTTACACCCCTCCAGGAACCAGGCATCTGCCTTTTGAAAGCATCCGTGTCTGAGCAGTTTTCCTGAAAAGCATTTTCTTACATTGTGCAGAAGTCTGCCCCTCTGTAACGTCTGCCTTCGGACAGCCTGGATTTATTCAATGGCGGTTGCTTGCCAGGCATATGCTGAGCACATATTCCTTCTATCGCAATGGCATTCCTTCTAGTGTAATGCTCGGCTCTCCTCCAGTCTGTCCTTTCTAAACCGCAGGGATCATTTGATGGGACTGGGATGTGCAAGAATGGACACTGACCGCTGTGGAAATGCTGCATCTGGGCAGGTCCGCAGCTAACAGAGGGCAGATGTCTCTAAAGAAGGGCTCCTGAATTCCCAGAGCACAGCTCAGAGCAGCTGGCCAGGCTGTTTCCTTCTAGCAGCCTGAGATCAGTGAGTTACTCTGCAGGAGACGTATAGCTCAGTCTGAGAAGGGAGGGATCTACAGCAGAGATAGAGCCTTCATCTTCATTAGCATTAATGCAGCAAAACCTCCTTGGCCCCAGGGGTAGCTTTTCCTGGATGGCAAACACTACTTGCCACACACACACAAATACTCTCCTGCCACCAGTCCTGCCAGTTCCCTTAACCGAAGGGGCTAAAGTGGCACATCTCTTTTATCAGGGAGGAAAAGAGGGAGACAGAAATGTGATAAAGCCCGGCCGGCATGGCTCAGTGGTTGAGCATGGACCTATGAACCAGGAGGTCACGGTTCGATTCCCGGTCAGGGCCTATGCCTGGGTTGTGGGCTCCATCCCCAGTTTGGAGAGTGCAGGGGGAAGCCTATCAATGATTCTCTCTTCCCCTCCCTTCCTCTCTGAAATCAATAAAAATTTAAAGATTAAAAAAATGTGATAAAGACCTGAATCCTCATGGACCCCTTTCTCACATCCCATCAGCTATTTCTAGACCTTGAGAGAAGAATGTGGAGACAGAGGCATGAGACGTGGGGCTCTATTCCTGGCCCACCAGGAACTAGTCATTCTCCCTCTAAAGGTGTCAATTTGGTCATTTGAAAATTGTGGTTTCGGAATAGGTAATCTTTAGGGTCATTTCCAGCTGTGATATCTAATGAGTTTCTTGTACAGCTGGCTGGAATAGTAGTCAGTAAAAGGATGCCTGCGGCTTAAGGTGATTCTGGAAGCTTTCATGGGGAAGCCGGGAAAAGGAGCAGTGACCTACAGGCTGAGTAGGCTGCGGGTTAGTGGATAAAAGGAAGGAAGGGGGTCCTTGAAGGGGGTCCGCCCCCTCTGGTAACCACTACTCTGTGGGTTTATATCTTTGGGGATATAAAACAAAAAGCAACAAACAAACCTCATAGATACAGACAACAAAATGGCAGCTCCCAAGGGTTCAGAGTTTCTGAGTCATGAGTGTGCCCTAATGTCTCTGGTGATTAATAAAAAGCTGGGAGCACTTAGAGGACACACGAGATTAGGAAAGAGACGGGGACAGGGTGAGGATTTCTTTCTCAGCCCAGGGCCGCTTCACCGTACAAATAACAACACAGGCAAGAGCAGACACAGGCCAGTACCTTGATGCTGTGCAGGGTCCCCGATGTGGACAGGATGGTGACATTTGGGAAGGTGTCCTTAGCTTGCTGAGGAGGAAAACATAAGAACGAACGCACGTGAGGAGCATCCCATGTCTTCCGGAGACACGAACAAACAACGAGCAGGTACTTGTTCTTCATGTTTGGATGTAAGGTCAGGCACGCGCTCTTGCCCACACCTGCACCCAGAGCCCGTACTCACGATGGTTCCTTTGATGTGTTGGAAGCTCTCTCCTAGGTGGCGCATGTCCATGGCAATCAGACATCTCCTGAGACCCCGGGCATGCGCTGCGCTCAGGAGGAACGCTGTGCCCAGGAGCCAGAGGGAAGCCCGCTGTGCCTTCATGTCCTGCAGGAGGGGTGGAAGTCAGCTGCCCGGCCGAGTGCAGAGGGCGAGAGAGACCCCTGGTGAGCTCCCCCTTGGACGTCACAGGGCAGGCCAGGCAGCCACCAATAGAACAGACTCACCGCCCCGGCCTGTGGAGTCCAGAGGCATCTGTCTCCTCCCCTGGCTTTCTGGACTCAGTTGAGTGAGCCCTCCTCCTACCCCCATGCTCCCCCGGCCACCCTAGGAAGCACAATACAGTGCGCTCTCTCTCAAGTCCCAGGGATTGTGACTGTGAGTGCATATCACTCTATTATGACTCAACACAGCTCACTTTGAAAAGCATTGTTTTTAATCAATTAAATAGGAAAAACAGGGTTGTAATATGTCCTAGGAATTAGGCAACAGATCTAAAAAACCATAAGAGCACATTTATGTGGTTTCTTTTATTTGCCCCCAAAATAGGCGACACCCTTTTATTATCTGCTTAAAATCATTATTTGACGCCAGCTATGAAGATGTCACCTCCTGGGGAAGATGGGAAAGAAAGAAGCAAGCCGTCTCCTAATAACTAATTAGCCACAGGGAAGAGAGAGGGGAAGGCTGCCCCTGCCTCCCCTCTGTCTCCCACTGCGCCGGGGATGTGAGGGCCATGGTGGAGCTGGCCAGTCCCTAGGCAGGGCCAGACCCTGAGATGCCTTCTCACCCTTCAGCACCGTCTTTCTCCGCCTTTCTCATGTAACCACTTCCAGCTGGTGTGTGACAGCGGAGGAGAGGGAGGCACCCAAATCGGAAGCCAATTAAGGGGCGGCAGAGCGCCCCACCTCCTGCCTTTAGTGATAGTGGCTCTAACTATAAAGCACAGGCATTGGTTCCAGAGTGTGAGCCGCAGCTGTTCCCATACCCGACCACCACTCCACAGATCTCCCTTTGGGAGTCCCGCGCTCTTTTCCCGAAAGCCAAGAAACAGCAAATCCTGTGTAGAGAGCCATTTCGCCTTATCTCTCCTGGACTCGGCATCACTCCCGGTGAGAGAACAGGTGTCTAATGAGACCTCACCAAGCAGGGGGCATTCATCACAGAGCTTGGTTGCTCCTTTTCCAACCTCTCTCTCTGACCAAACAAGAGTACAGACCCCACTGGCAGGGGTGTCTGTAGGTCCCCTCAGCGCTCTCTCCCCGCCAAAGGCAACTGGGCTGCTTCTAGAAAGCCAAGTGACTAGGAAGGGAGCACAGTTTTGCTTCTGACAGTTACCTTGTCAGAAGCAACGGGATAGTCCCTGCCCGGCCCCTGCTGCCAGGAGGCCCCGGCATCTTGTGCAGGAGAAAGATGCCTCCCTCCGCTTGGCAACTCCAGACACCTTGGCAGATTGAGATAAGAGAGGCAACTAACGTTCGTCATGCATGCCAAGGTGCCAGGCCCTGTGCCAGGCATTTTTCCTAATTATTTCATGCTCACAACCACCCTATCTCCACTTGACCAGAGGCGACTGAGACTTAGAGAAGGGAAGGAACTTGCCCAAGGTATGTGGCCACCAAGTAGCAGAGCCAGAGGGAGAAGGCAGGCAAGCTGGCCCTCGGCCCTCTGTCCTCTACATCATCCCACTGACGGCTCTGTCCCCTGGGGGAGCTCAGCTGGAGATCCCCACAGATGCCCTCATACCAGCCAGAAAGAAATGCACTTCTGATTGGGTAGACTGAGCTACAGATGCTCCTTACAGTGAACAAGATATGTAAGCCCAGCCGGTGTGGCTCAGGGGTGGAACCAGGAAGTTACAGTTCAATTCCCGGTCAGGGCACAGGCCCGGGTTGCGGGTTTCGTACCCAGGGGGGGTACGTGTAGGAAGCAGCCAATCAATGATTCTCTCTCATCATTGATATCTCTATCTCTCTTTCCCTCTCCCTTCTTCTCTGAAATCAATAAAAATATATACTTTTTAAAAAGATATTTAATACTGCAAAGGATTTAAAAGAAGATATATTATGAAGTACCCAGCACAGGCCCTAGAACAAAGAGGTTATAGTAAATGTTGGATTCTCTCCCCTTCCCTTTCTCCTTTCCTTCCTTCCTTCCTTCCTTCCTTCCTTCCTTCCTTCCTTCCTTCCTTCCTTCTTCCATCTTTCCTTCTTCCATCCTTCCTTCTACCCCACTCTCCATCTTTTCTTATTGAGGGTAAGGTACCAGAAAGTTCACCTCTATATTGAGTACCAAGCACCTGGGACATCCTAGGCCACACACAATGGTGGCAGGCCACCTCTCTGCAGCTGTAAAGGATGAGGGTGAGGATGAAGATGAACAAGAGCCTGAGATGGAGGCTGGCAGGAGGCTCACCTGTCCCTGGATGCTCGGGCTGCTCCTGCGTCGGCTCTCTCGGTGCTCTTTGTCACGCAGAAAGGGCGGACTGCTTTTATGCAGGTGGATACGAGGAAATGCTGTCAAGGTGTACTGGGTGGGTCCACCTTTGGGAGATTTCCCCCCCCCCCCGCCCCTTGTTTCCTTAGCATCTCATTTCCTTAATTCTTTTCTTTTCTTTCACCTTCGAAATCGAGTTGATTAATCATTATGAAGAAATGCTTCTCTCTCTGGGTCTAGACATGCAGATTCTAGGAAAAATGAACTCCCCATCAACATGCAAATGAGAATTTCTTGCAATCCCGTGTCCATAGAGAAAGATCCAGGTTAGGTCACTTTCCTGAGAGCTGGGGCATGTCACCAACTGCATCTGGCAGGCAGTCTCAGGAAAGCGCTCTCCTCACAGCCACGCCCTGAGACTGCAGGTGCCGATGACTCCAGCGCACCCCACCTGCCCAATGGCTCCCATGGTGCTCATATCCATGGTGCTCATAATGCCTACCCGGTGCCAGGCATTAGCTAAATGCTTTTTGTTTAACTTCATGGAGAATGTCGTGGGGTTTCCCCTCAGGAATGCAAAGGATTTCTTTGGACATCATCTCATTCCTCTTCATATTGTCCCTGGATGGTCATTTCATTCTCAATGAACACAGAGAGAGAAAGTGAGACTGGGGAGTAGAGGGCCTGGAATACAGAGCCAGGAACAGAGCCCTGGAATCCTTGCGGTTGGGCAAGGATTCTTAATTGCTTTTATAAAATAGGTTTTGATTGGTTTGAGAGAGAGAGAGAGAGAGAGGAAGGGAAAGAGAGAAAGGGAGAGGGAGAAAGAGAGAGAAACATGGATGTGAGAGAAACATCAATTGGTTGCCTCCCATATGCATCCCAACCAGGAATCGAACCCAGATATGCGCCCTGACCAAGACCAGGAATGGAACCAGAGACCTTTCAGTGGACAGGACAACACTCAACCAGCTGAGCCCCACTGGCCAGGGCTCTAAATTAATAAACTCTACACCATGAATTCTCCAAGGATCAGGGTTTGGGGTGATGGTGATGGAAAGCTAAGGTATAAAAAGTCCCTCCCCCGCAACACAAACTCTCAAAATAAACAGAGCTTGTTTTTTTTACCAAATGAAGCAACTCTGGGATGAAATGCAATTACAAAGGATCCCAAGGGCCCTTTGAACAACGGGCTGGTACAATGGGCTGGCCCAGGCTCTGCCCTGCCAGACTGGTGAGCCGGAGTAGTGGGCAGGGCACTGGCAGAAGGAAGAGGGACAAGGAAGACTGGGAACTTTTATGGAGGTCGATGCAAGGAAAAGGAGCCTCGGGGGCTAGAAGCCTTATTGTCCAGCATCTTAGACAAAATGAAATCCTAATATATGTCGAGGGGAGCAGTAGACTGTAGCTCTGGATTTAAAACCTGACTCTCCTTTCTCTGTGAGACTGGACTGCTTACCTTTCTGAAGTGCCATAAACTAGGTAAACTGAAGTGTGAGGATTTGAATGAGCTAATGGAGTTGGTCCACAGAAAGCACTCAATAAAGATTATGTATTCTGATGCTGTGCGCCAGGCACCGGAAAGGAGAAGACACCGTTGGTAGGAGTTAACCATAAGTGTCTTTCTGCTCCTGCTTGGGAGGAGAAAAAGAGCTATTCTTGAGTCTAGAGAGCTCTCCCACCTCCACCCCTGCTTCCCTAGGGAGGGGGAGGAGCAGGGGAGCTGAGCGCTGCTTCCCAGCTGGGCCTGAGCTGCCTGGCTCTTAGCCTGCAGATGGCGGCCCAGCCCCACATGTGAGAGGATTGCCTAACCGTCCCTGGGACTCTGACCCCGCATTCACCCCCTTGTGCTCAGACTGTATGTTCTGACCCAGCTTGCATTTCAGGGGGACGGTGTCATTGTCGGGAAACTGGCAGAGGAAGGAAAAATATGTGATGTGTTTTGAGCTGCTCCCCCGGGACGCACCAAGGGTCAGGGCGGCTGGGCCTGTGGCTTGGAGGCAGCCAGCCCAGCCTCGGCTGACTGCCTCTGCTCCCTGTGGCGGCCAGACTGAAGGCAAGCCAGCTCCTCTCTGTGCCTCTGTTGACTCATCTGCAATATGGTGCTCACGGTGCTGGCTGGCTATTCACCATGTGGGCATGTGCGTAGGTTAAAGGATTAAGCCATTAGCGCAGCGGCCGGCACATAGTAAGGGCTTAGAAGAGGATACCCCTTGTCATTAATTGTACAGCCGCTACATTGGGAGGAAGAAAGGACAATAAGAAACGACTTCTCCATCCCAAGCCTTGCTGCCTAACACATAACGTAGAAAATAAGAGACTCGGTTGAGATGGAATGGCATCCCTCTAGGACTGCAGTCGCACCATGGTCTTGCGCCACAGGCATAGGGTTATGTCCAGCCTTACAACTGGGTATTCGAGAGCCACTCCACCCACTCCTGGGATACCGGAGCTCGATTCTCCATGTTAAATGGGGCAGCAGGGAGAATGTGAAGGGAGACCAGGGAGCCGGCTGAAGAATGAATGCTCCGAGAGACATGTACTGGACTCAGCTCTCTCCCACTTTTCAACCCCCTCTCCCCGTCCTCCCCACTATCCACTCCGATTTCATGAACATTCAGGGTGGTGCCGGGGTCATTCCCGCTTTATAAAACAGTGCAAGCTGCTCACTCATAGTGCTAAGTCCTGGAGCTCAGACAGAAGTGAGCCAGGCACTGCACAACTCCAGAGGGCGCCATGCCCACGGCCTTCTACGGGAACGAGGCTCCGTGAGAGGAGCAAAGTGTGGCCCTACTGGCTGGTCTGGATGAAAGGGATTAGGTCTAAGTGAGCAATTTCAGTCACATTAGAGGAAGAGCGGTGCCGGAGGCAGCTGATCAATGATTCTCTCTCATCATTGATGTTTCTCTCTCTCTCTCTCTCTCT